TTGTCAATAATTGGTATTTTTGTTGCAGACATTTCCCATGCAAACTGAAAAGCCAAAAGGAAGTTTAATTAAAAGCTAACAATTCCTTGGCTCAGAGTTGGCCTGAAGGACCAGAACCCAGTTTATTTTGTTTTGTTTTTTAGGCAATTGGGGTTAAGTGACTCGCCCAGGGTCACACAGCTAGTAAGTGTCAAGTATTTGGTAATAGGCTGGATTTGAACTCAGGTCCTCCTGATTTCCAGGCCAGTGTTCTATCCACTGCACCACCTACCTGCCCCTCAGAACCCAGTATGGAGGTGAGAATTCACACCCTAGTCCTTGGGAAGAATCATTGAATTGCTGTGGAATATAGCAATCTAGTGTATCTTTGACAAGGATCAGATACAGCCAGGACAGTATTGCCCCATTCTTAAAAACAGTAAGACTATAAGGTGAGAAGGACTGACTGAGAGGCAAGTCCCTGGGGGTGGAGGTGGGGGCAACAGTAATTCCTTTCTCTAATATCAAGTCATTTTCAGTGATCTCACTCTATGCTATATGATCTGAAATAGGAGAAAACTATGAATTAGCATATTATGCTTATGGGCTAGACAGCTTCTTTCGATATTATTACTATTACTGCTGAAGTAACTCTTACCTTTGTAGAATGCTTTGTACAAAACTAATAAAATGACTATTTTGTATAGCAATAGTAAACGTATGGTTGTTAGTGACTGCTATTCCTAGTATCAGCTATACTGTGTTTTGCTCTATGACTTCGTACTTCATTAATTCTACCCTTACGCTATATCAACATTGATATATAGATCTAAATGATATAGATATGGATAATATAGATATATGCACAGGCATAGTTATAGATCTGGATGATTGTATGGACAACATATGATTCTGATGCATATATATGTACATAAATATATGTATGTGCATATGTATACCATGTACATACATGTGTGTGTATGTGGTATGTGTCTAGCATCCTTTCTGGGCAAGTATTCCCCCTAATTTATGTTCTCAGATTGGGTCCCCTAGGTCATGACTACTCCAGGTTCGCGATACTCAGAGTCTATATTGTCTCACTCTCACTTCCTGAGTCACTGAATTCCAGTGGCAAAACAAAAGTCAAGATTACTGGTGGTGGCCCAAGAAACAGTGGAAGACTTTGGTGCCTTTGACATCTGACCAAGCTCTAAGTGTTCTATAGCATCTGCTTTGGTCAGCTTCATGGAAGTTGGAACATTGTTCTCATTTGCACTTTCTGCTTAGTGAAGTCTTTACATGCTTGGGGTAGACACTCCCCTAATTCACCAACAGATTTGAGGCCTGTCAATTACCCTCAACCTGGTTTAACCTACCTGCCAAGATGGTTTTACTGGGTGTAGCCACTGGACATGCTACAGCCTCTCGGAGCCAAGGGTGGGTCGGGTGATAGGTAAAGCCCTAATGACATGCAGCTCTGAAAAAGCCTCACACCAGAGGTGCTAGGCGTCTCTGAATACACCATATGTACCTCAAAGCAAAAGTATTAATGCAATGCACCATTAAGGATTGTAGGTACAAGGCATTAGTTCTAGTAAATCTGGAGCACAATCTACCCCAACTACTTAGAGCATCGTTGGAAAGGATAGGCATACACATAAAGTTTCCCAGTAGAAAGGCACATGTAAAGGTTACACATGTTGCCAAAGCAACTCATTCCTGCTGCATTGAAAGGGACTGATACATTTTCTTTAATGACTCTACTTCCTCAAAATACAGTAGACCTACTGGCTAGGTCACTCTGCTGGGCTTCTTGGGCTTGGTCTTCTTGGTAGCTTGATTCAAGTTTGCAGTTAAACTCTGGGCCTGCTGTCTCCTGGGATCAGCATCTCCTGTGTGAGTTGCTTAGATGCGATATATCGTTGCAGTAGTGAGAAGGAAAGACAGAGAAATGCCCTCATACCTCACAGTATGGAAGAGAAACAAGGGAAAAAGCAAAGAGCAATTCCTTCTAAAGAGCTTGGTTCTCTAGTATAGTGGGATCTTGATTGCCAGAGATTGCTCTCCTGAAATCTGGTTGTCCTATAAGTTCAACAGTGGTGTGGCTTCAACTACTTAGTGGCTAGTTATCCTTCAATTCCATAAATTTATTGAATAACTTGTTCATACATCCTAAAGTAGCAAAGAAGCATAGATATGCCACATATATTCATACACACACACACACACACACATACACACACACACACACACACACACACATACCATATTTGGGTAATATATACATAAACATACATATTACCATATTATATCATATAATATAGTGTCACATTTTGTTAAGATTTTGTTATAATTATAATTTTATTATATACTATATTATTATTTACCCAAAAGTTCTATCTGGGGGCCTTTGTCTTTCATATTTCTATACTGCTTTGCTGGTGTTTTTATTGTCTCTTATGTCTTCAGTTGTCATCACCATAGAAATAATTCTCAGATCCATTTGGCCAATCCTAATCTTTGTCCTGACCTCGAGTATCACATTGCCAACCACCTACTAGACATTTTGAACTGAATAGACACCTCAACTCAACATACGCAGAACTGAATTCATTATCTTTTCCCCCAAACAATCCCTCTTTCCAGCTTCTCTATCACAATTAAGGGTAGCACCATCCTCCTAGTTGCCCAAACTCTCAACCCCAGGGTCATCCTCCATATCCCACATATGCAATCTGTTGCCAAGTCTTGTCATGTCTACTGTCATAGCATCTCTCATATATGTCACCTTCTTTCTGCTCATATAGAGCCACCAACCTGACCGACCTTTATCACCTCATAACTAGACTACTGCACTCTCCCTTCCTCTAGTTTATTCTCATTCCAGTCCATTCAGCTATTAATGTGAAGGTTTGACTATGTCATCCCCCACTCAATAAACCCTAGTGGGTCCATATTACCTTAAGAATCAAATATGAAATGCTCTATTTGGCATTTAATGCTTTTTACAACTTGACCACTTCCTACCTTTCTAGTCTCTTTAAGAATTACTATCTTCCTCATGCTCTATGATCCAGCCACATAGACATCCTTGCTATTCCTTGTACATGACACTCCACCTCCAGACTCCATCTGTGCCTTTCCACTGCATGATTGGAGTGCTCTCTTTCCTCACTTCCTCTTCTTGGTCTCCCTTGGCTTCCTTTTTGCTTTCTTTGTATCCCTAATACTTAATACAGTACCTGACCTATTGTAAATGCTTAAATGTTTATTGATTGTTATCTATGAGTATATATATATCAGTCTATGACATTTCCTATACATCAATTATGTGAAAGGCAGTGTTCTCTCTTTCCATCTGTCTCTGTCTTTCTCTGTCTCTCTTTGCACATACACGTGCACACACACACACACACACACACAGACAGAAGAAAATGTATCTTGATGAGAGCATGTATGCATTTTCTTGTTGTTGTGGTTGGTTTGACCAGACCTTTGTGTAGGAAGTTATCAATTAGATTCTAACAATGCACAGTAGCACCTTCTCTGTAGTCTCAGAGTTGCCCGGGACACTGAGAGACTTATGTGACTCGGCAGAGTCACACCACCAGTTTGTCTTAGAGGCATGAGTTAGAGGCATGTCTTCATGACTTCAGCCACCTCTCTATTCACTATGATATATACTGTGCATATACATACATACATATATATGCGTATAGGAATGTGCATATATACATATATGTGTGTGTGTGTATATATATATATATATATATACACATATATATACAACATATATATATACATATATATATACTCAAACATATATATGCATATTGTTCATATAGACACACATTAATAACCAGTTGAAATTCAAAGTACAATTGTAAAAGGTGTCATCCAGAAATTATATAACAAGAAGATAAGGGAAGACAGGCAGGCATCCAAAGTGCTCTATTAAGACCCTTGTACTGTCAGGATAAAGCTAAGAAGTCCTAGCCAGCATGTTGGATGAGCCCTCTTAGTAGAACTTATGGGAAGATATAGACAAGAATCACGTGAGATGGAAAAGTATGGATGAGTTACAATTTACAATACTGAAAGGGTTAGAGATATCAATCACTATGGAATCACCACACTTGGACCTTAACATGAGTCCAAGAGGGTGCTTATAAGGAAAGTAGTAATGTTTTTAAAGAGAACAAAGATACAGGAAGCAGCCAGATTTGAACAAGTATATATAGGGTTACCAAAAATAACTAAGTGACATCAGTAACTACCAAACAGTATTCCTGCTCTCTCATATTATGGGAAACCTTAATCTAATCTAAATCTAATCTAACCTAAAAACTAATCTGCACATTCACTGAAGTCATCCTTGCTAAAGGTATTAATAGGTATCAAGCAGACTTTTGCAAGACTATCCTCTATAAGCAACTATATCTACCTCTCTTGTAAAATCTGTCTACATAAGCTTATTTTTTATGTACATATACACATATGTATACACATGAACAATTCTACACATACACACACATATACATATGTATCAATTAATACAGTCTGTACCTGTGATTTCATTGGTTAGGAAATTTCAGTAAGAAACGACCTGCACCATTTCAGATACGCAACTCATCTACTAAGTTTAATCTTAGAAAGTTGCCTGGACATTAAGAGGTTAAGTGCTTTGCCTGTGGCAAACAATTCATGTGTGTTAGAAAGCAGGGCATGAGCCTAGCTCAGAAAGACTCCAAACTCTTTCTGCTACACTAGCTTATCTCAATAATACTAAGAGTAGTAATAATAATATCATTTCTGCATAGGAGTTATAGTGGTAATGCTATTTGATTTATAAAGCTATATTAATGCTTGCCATATGTCAGGTCCTTTACTTAAGATAGAATTATAACAATTAAACAACACAATAACAACACAATTCCTACCTTCAATGGGTTTAAAATCTACTGGTAGGAAAAGGATACAACACACAAAATCAATATATGATAAGACTGTGAGGCACTTACCCCCACTCTTGCAGATGAGTTAGATTCTCCAAAGTAAGGCTACATTTCCACCTGAGGGTTATGAAGAGTTGGGGGTGAGTCTTCTCTACCTTTAGCTTGAGCTTCCATTCTGGTATGGTCTCCCCAGTGTTAATCACTAGTGATTAATGTCTCAATTTCATTTAACCAATCAACACCATTTAGCTTTTACAAAGTATTATTCACCCTGAAGATACAGCAAGAACAGAAATTATAAAAGATTTCTCTCTAATACCTGCTAACACTTTTTTTTTCCTTTTACATTACCTCAATCCCTGGGGAGATTGGACTCAACCTTAATGTAATTTCTACATAGCATTCACCCCACCATGTTCACTTCTAAACTAGGTCTAAGTTAATGAATGGATAAATCCATATTTCTGCAAGTGCTGAGCTGGGTCAAGCAGGTCCTGATTTAGGGCCTCAGCTTCCACATCTCCCGGGCTCAGCCTCCCACAAATCCCAACATGAATTACAGATCTCTTACTTCTGCAACTCACTATTATTATTCCTGACTTTTAAAACTCACATGGTCATAGCCATCTCTAATACTCCATCTAAAAACATGTGAAATATACTCAACAAGAGGTGGGCGCTCATAAGGCAGAAGATGGCAGCGCTAGTAAGGTCACTAATGATGAAAGTCCACGCCTCCCCCACTCGGACACAGTCAGCCAGAAAAAGGATAAGGCCTTGCTTTGACTGATTAGTGCTTTTTCAATACTCTCAAATTCTGGTTCCACAGACAATTAACAGTCTATCTCTTCACTGTATGTCAAGGAGACTGGAGCAAGGTACAGAATGTCTGCATGTGCTCTAAATTGGGAGCAGGGCCTTACTATTCCACATCATTATGACTTTCAGAAAGCATAATTTTCAGAAAGCAAAGTCCTTAGTCTCTTCCTTATGAGGTAGCAGAATGTTATTGGGGTTGGCTGCCATGGACCAGACCCCTGGCAGAAATATAGCACAAGATATAATGTAACATACACAAAAGGCTATGAGAAACAGAGAAAAGATTGATCACTTTCAGCTAGAGGTAAGGTGTGAGGAAATTAGTGAAGTTATCATGAAAGAAGTGGCAAATGATGTGGGTCTGGAAGGAATAAAAGGCCTTTTTATTTGTTCTTGAGGAAATTTTATTGGCTTTTTATTTTTTATTTTAACTTTTTATTTTTTTTATTTTAACATTTAACATTTTAACATCTTTTTATTTTAACATTTTTATTTTTTTTATTTTAACATTGCCTAGATGTGCCCTCTTTTTCCCTCCCAAAAAGCCATCCCTTATAGCAAAGAATTAAAAGAAGAGATGGATTTCAAAGAGATGGGGAGCAAGGATATTCCAGATGTAAGAAATGGACTTTGTGAATGCATAGTGACTCATACCATTCATTAGTAATACTGTTATTAACACTGACTCACATTTGTATAGGGCTTTGTATTGCAACAATAGTTCTAATGATACTATTTTTTTATTCTGTTACATTTACATAGCACTGTTTTCTGCCTTGGTCAGATTACATTTTTTTGATTAATTTACTTGGGGTGTGTGTGTGTGTGTGTGTGTTTATCCTAGGGGCAACATTTTAGGAAGCCCAAATTTGTCAGCAGTCAATGTAGGTCAACCATGATGGTAAAGGGCTTGGAAATCATTCCATGTTAGGAAAGAATCGGGAATGTTTAGATTGGAGAGGAAAAGTGTGTGTGTGTGTGGGGGGGGTTGGAATACATTAGGTGTTTTCAAACGTTTAAAGAGCAATCATGCAGAACATGGAACACATCTATTCTGCTTGCTGCTAGTGGGAAGAACTAGGAGTTTCAAAAATTACAGAGGAGCAGCTTTAAGGTCTTTGTAAGTTTCCAATCAGGGTTGCCTTACTGGGCAGTACCTTCTCCCTCTCTGGAGTTCTTCAAGCTAAGAGGTTGGATGACCCCAAGGCTGATACCTGTTGTAGTAGGAATTCGTTTTGGATATGATTTGGACTAGGTGACTGCTAACATCCGCTTAATAAATTCTGATTCTCTGACTCTTATGACCTTGGGCTCTTGAAGGTCAATAGAACCCAAGGAATCCAATAGTTCCCACAATGCTGAAAGGCTCATGTACTATTCTACTTTTTTAGACCAGCTAAACTTATGAAGAAGCTCATCACCAGTAGAGCAGTCACTAGGTGAAGAATTGTTTGACCGTGGAAACTCAAGAAACAAAGAAAACTAGAAAATTGTCTATAATATGTGTGGACCCCTTTTACTTCTGTGGCGATAATAGCAGAGAGTTAAAGGAGGAGTTAAATGTTACTCTGAAGTCATGTGTTTTTAGACCATCTATAAGTGTTGGATACTCAGAAGGTGACATCCTTGTCAACAGATGAGTGGAAATAATTATGGAGTTGTCATATCAATTTTGACATTAAGTTGTGCTAAACAAAAAAAAAATACTAGTTGTTAGTTTAGACCAAATATATAAGATGAAGTCCATGCTGAAAGTGATACAATTTTGAGGTCATTGAAGATCAGTTCTCAAAATATCTGAAAGGGAAACCGACACTAAACACTTGGGAAAAAATTACAACTAAGAAAAATACCAATCACTACCAACAGATACCTTCACTTTCCAATTTCTACAAAATCTTTGGGAGAAAAATCTACACATATATTAAAGGCATTCTTGATAAAGATATACAAATGAAACCACCAGTCTATCCTATAGCAGACTTCTTCTTTATACTTACATAAGAGACTAAAATGTATAGAAAATACAAGATCTTGTTGACTCTGGAGCAAAATGCTAACTTAGAGACTTTCCTGAAACAAAATGTTTATCATGAATATAATGAAATCATACAAAATCCCTTGAAATATATGTATACACACATGTATGTATGTCAGAGAAAACTTTGTTCAGAATTTCTTTGATTATTCACATGAAGAGAGGCATAGAACCAATTTATTTATCACCAACAACTATGAAGGCTATCCATACAGAGTCTGTATAGACAAGAAACATCCATTTTTCTGAATCTTCCTGTATGTGGATGGAATTGTGTTGATTGAATCAGGACCACAAATAACATTTGGAAGTTTGGTCTATCTACATAGAAAAACTCTCTCTCTCTCTCTCTCTCTCTCTCTCTCTCTCTCTCTCTCTCTCTCTCTCTCTCTCTCTCTCTCTCTCTCTCTCTCTCTCTTTCTTTCTCTGAAGAATGACTTTCCCCCCCCATTTTTGCACTCCATTTCTGCTTTTACTCAGCAAAGTGGCACAGTAGATAGAATGTAGGTAGGACTTAGAGTCAGGATGACATGAGTTCAAATCTTACCTCTGACTGTGTAATCTTGGGAAACTCAGTTAATCTCTCCATGCCTCAGTTTCCTCATCTTAAAAATGGTGATACTACCTCACAGACTTCGTGAGGAGTAAAAGAATTAACATATATAAAGAGTTTTGCAATCTTTAAAGCCTTATATAAATGCCACATATTGTTACTATGACTCCTATGTATTTTATGAGTTTAAAAACCTTATTCTGAGGAGTCCATAGGTGTTGCCAGACTGTCAGAGAGGTCCATGACACATACAAAAAAAAAAAGATTTAAACTTCTACTGCATATGGAATTTGTATTCAGTAACTGATTTGGCAAAATTACTTCTGAGGACCTTTCATATTCTGAGATGTGAATCTGTAGACCTGGTGCAATTTCTGCCTCAACCTTCAGTTTTCCTTCCAGCCTTGGTTAATTTTTTTTTTCTGTACCTGACCTTGTGCCTACCTACCTCAGGGTATCTTTCAGCCTTAAACTTATCTAGAATAGCTTCTTAGCATAGAGGATAGAATTTTGTAATTGTATTTCAATTTCAATGGAAGAGCCTTGGTTCAAATCCTTTCTTTGACAGTTACTAGCTATGTGGAGTGGCCTTATGCTTAACTTAATCTTTCTTAGCCTCAGTTTTCTCATCTATAAAATGTGGATAATCATACCAGTAATAATTACTTCATAACTTTGTTGAGAGGCTCAACAGAGATCATGTTTTGCTTTGAAAATCTTAAACCATTATATAAATGTCGACTGTGATTACTTCTTCCACCCTCTCTGTGCCCCCTCCCAACACACATTTTCTTAATTTTGACATGCTTTGGCAAAGAACTGCCAAGAAAATAGAAGAAAAAAATAGCTCCTCTTTTTATTTTTAAAGAAATTCTTTAAGGTTTATAAAGTACTTTGCTGATAACACTTTAAGGTAGTATATTTATTACTATAACAATTTTTAAAAAGGAGGAAACTTTGTCTCCTAGAGTGATATATTTATATTTCCATAGCTAGCAAATGTCAAAGAGTAAATGTGAGCCCCCCATTGCAATTATTAGTGTTATGGATCTGCTATTACATTTACTGTACAGTGAGTTCAAAGCACTTTTATTCACGATTTCCCTTTCCTCCTCACATACCCCTTTTAAATGTGCTTCCACTGTAATATTATATATTACAGCTGTCTGTGACTGGAAGTTATTCCTTTCCTAGGCTTTTAACTATATTGTACATCTCCCCTATCACCTAGCAATCTGTATACAGTAAGGGTTTAATAAATATTTGATGGTTAGCTGACTGATTCCCAATTAAATGCAAGAGAAGCATGATGAAGGGGAAATTTGGCCCAGAATGATCAGACAAATGGGCACAGAACTGCCCCCAAATCCTCAGACTTTATGTACAATCCCCTAAATTCCAAGCTACATCTCAGAGTTGGATACATCCCCCTCCCCATCTCATACACCCACACTTGGGCACTATTACTTGGAAATGTGTGCATGATGAAATTAAATACCTGTGAGATAAGATCAGAAGATGACAAGAACAGTTGATGAAAAGTCAAAATATTTTAGTAATGTAAATGAGTTTCAAATTTTAATTTTATTTTTACTTTATGTGTTTCCTATTCTGAATGGGACAAATTGATGTGCAATTAACTCCATTGTATGTTCATTTTGAGCCTTGAAATTGACATAATCACTAATAACACTATTAATAATACCAACATTAATGATCCTTCGTGCTCCCAGGCACATTCTCTTCTTGAGCATGTGCTATTTGCAGTTGCACCTGAGAGCTGTTGATGTTGGGGGCAGGGGGAAGGTTTAAGATGTACAAATACTGCCTTGTGACCTGTAAAATCCAGCAATATTTAATTAAAAAAAAAAAACAGAGTCATGAAATCAGAACCAAATTTCTCCCTGTAGGACATAATGCCTAGA